ATTCCCAGGCCTCCTCCTTCACTTGCTGCTTTTCTGTCTCTTCCTTACCTTCAATTGTAGCAGTAACTCGGCGCCTCCCTGAACACTGGCAACACTGGTGGGTGCAGAACTCTGCTACCCAGAGTGTCAGCGACCTGAGACGCATCTCCTTGTAGTCAGGGCGTGGGCACACTTGCTGGTTTCCATGCTCATTGCTTTGCATCTTATGTCTCTGGCCACATCCCTTGTTTATAGCCTTTACTCAATTAGAGTTGGTGTTCTGGTTTTTCCTTATTGATTTGCAAGAGTGCTTTAGAGATGAAGGGTGTCACTTTACTGCTGGATGTCACAAAGATCCCAATGTGTCGATTGTCTTTTGGTTGTCTTTATATCTTTTCCTCCCACTTTCTATTATGGAAAATTGCAAATGCACAGTAGAGTGGCTAGTGTGATGCCTCCTCATGTGCCCCTCACCAGCTTCTGCCGTGATGAAGTCAGGGTCTAGAAGAAAAGCCCTTGCCTGTCTTTCGTCTGAAACACGCCTTGTATATGTTACTGTAAACGGTGTCACTTTAAAACCCAAACCAAAACACCATAACCACAGCCCGTGACGCTGTTTTGGGGGGGATGTACAGAAATGCTTCGTTCTCACAAAGCTGAGCTGCTCTGTCTTTCCTTGGCAGTTTGTCCCACTGCTTTGAGGTTAAGAACAGCCTCCTCCTGCCCAGACACCCCAGGCCCGACACTGACTTCCGAGCAACACTGTGGTCCTGGAGGGGATGGACAGACATGGACTCCGCCCTGTGTGAACTCCCCGGCCCAGGCCTCCTGCTCCAGCCTTGGCTCAGTGCCCATCCTTCTGGGCTGGCCAGAAGCTATCCCTGCAGCTGCGGGCACCGTCTGACCACAGTAGGGGTGACAGGGTAAAGATGGGCCCCCATGAGGCCTGGCCAGCAGTGCTGGGAGCAGGTCACCATGCTGGCAGTGTTGAGGGTGGGGGATGCGATGCCCTCCCAGGCAAAGTGGGCTTTGGAGCCACCAGGCCAGGGTTCTGCTTCTGCTCACACCACTTCCCTATCTAGATGGGGGGCGGGGGCAGAATGAGGTTCGCCCAGTGGCCAGTCCTCTCTTCTCTCTTGGGGGACAGCTGGCAGTGTGCCGACAGATGGCCGGCGAGGAGTCGGGACTGGAGCCCAGGCCTCCTGCCTGCCTCCCCCTGCCGGCCTGACCCTTGGGAAATTCCTCTAATTCCTCAACCCAGATTGGACTCAGGCCCCATAATTTGATTTTGTGGAGCAGGGTTTGGCTGGACTCCTTGTGAGGAAGAATGTCTGGGTCAGCAGGAAGACGTCAGATGTGGGTTTAGGTTTCGGGGGAAGGCTCGGCATCTCCCCCTCGCTCCTCTGGTGGTGCCTTTGCTTTCCTGATGGACCAAGTGTTAGCCACAGTTGTGCCCCAAAGTGCTCAGGGTCCACGCTCCCCCTGCCCAGCAGCATTTCAGAGCCTTGTTCTTATCTACCCGCCCACCCACTCATCCACCCATCTGACTCTCCACCCACCCACCACCTTACACCCATTCACCTGCCCATCTGACTCTCCACCCACCCACCACCTTACACCCATTCACCTGCCCATCTGACTCTCCACCCACCCACCACCTTACACCCATTCACCAAC